GTAGAGCTCTATTCGGCCCTGAAACTGATTCCTGCAGGCGCTAGGGTCCCCTAAAGCCCTGCTGCTGCTGCCCAGGGCTGGGCAATGACAAAAAAATTCCCCATGATTTTTCCTTTCCAAACCAGGCAGGAGCAAAGAGTAGGTAGAAGGATTTCTCAGCAGAGGCAGTGGCCAGGCAGCGAGGTGGCAGCGGGGCCGGGTCTTCCAGTGCCATTCTGCTCCTCCCTTTCCAGACCAGGCCCAAGTCGTGCATGGAGGTCGAGAACATGCTATAATTTTACTAATTACACGCCTACTGTACAATTTAACTGTACTTCTGCTGTATTAGGGTGTCATACCCTACCACATGCTGCCCCACAGCATGATATTCCCTGCTGTGTTGTTGCAGCACATCACATGGCACCGTTGTTTGTAACAGCTTCTGTCCCTGGCTGCCATCCGCCATCTCCAGAGTTTTACACAGCAGCTTTAGGGCCCTGTTCCACATTGCTGAGGCTCCGAGCAGCAGCAGACAAGCCCAGTCGGAGCTGCCCTGATCAAAATAGCCGGCTTTCATGGCCCGGGACATGCCGGGTGCACCACAACGGGAGAGGGGACGGTGCGGTCTGTCACAGCCAGCACGCTCTCCTGCCTCTGCTCCCGGTGCGTGCGAGGCCTCCCACCGCACAGCTGTGATCGTATAGTGGTCAGTACTCTGCGTTGTGGCCGCAGCAACCTCGGTTCGAATCCGAGTCACAGCAATGGTTTTGCAGAGAGCCGGGTGCGCACAAAGGCCACTTGGAAAATGCAAGGGAGACATCTGCAGGGAAGCTCCAGCCGGTGTGTCAGCAAAGATGCTGTGGCCCAAGGGGGAGGTAGCGGCCCTGCAGTGCTCCCTGCTCCTCAGAGTTTGTGGAGGTTTTCCTTAGCTGGGCAGATGAGCTCCACCACAATCTCTCCCCCTCCTCAAAGGAAAAACTACAGTGAAAATGGCTCAAGGGTTGAGATAAGGACAGGGAAATCACTCAACAATTATCACCATGGCCAACACAGACAGCACAGGACGATTAGTGTAATTTATTACCTATTACTAACACTCTAGAGCAGCAATAAAATAAAAAATAAAAATAAAAAATAAAATCAAAACACTTTTCTAGGGAAAAAAGGGCTACAGTCATTCTGTAATGCTTCGTCTCCATCGCTCCTTCATGGTCACTCTCTGCCCCTGCTCCATGTGGGGTCCCTCTCACAGAATGCTGCCCTTCCCAAACCAATCCCATGTGGGTTTCCCACAGACAGCAGCTCTTCAAGAACTGCTCCAAACATGGATCCGTACCACAGGGCCCATCCGTCAGGAGCAAAGTGCTCTAACATGGCTCCCCCATGGGCAGCAGCTCCTGCCGGGCAGCTGTGTGGACTCCTGCGTGGGCTCCTCTCCACGGGCTACAGGTCTGGCCATTTCTCTCCTCGCTCTCCCAGATGCTGTTGGACAACACTTTTTTTCCCCTTTCTTAAATCTGCTCTCACAGAGGTGCTGCCAACGTCCCTTATTGGCCCCGCTCTGGGCAGCAACGGGTACCTTTAGAGCCAGCTGAAACTGGCCCTTAGCTGACAAGGGGCAGCTGCTGGACATTTCTCACAGGGGCCACCCCTGCTGCCCCCTGCTCCCAAAACCTTGCCAGGTAAACCCAATACAGAGTCACGTACTTGGGCTTTCAGCAGTCTCCTGATGTGGAGGCATCACGTGGGGGCTCTCCTGTGGGGTGCAGGGACAGCTTCCCCACATGCTGCCACAGCACTCCAACTACTCCCTCTTCCCAGCACAGCTGGGAAGGCTTCGGAGGCTTCTCCTGGAAATCACTCAGCTTTCCCCACTTTCCTTTCCCTCCTCCTGCCTCCCCATTGTGCCAGAAGGGCACCAGAAGAGGCAGTGGCCACCTGGCAGAGCAAAAGGAGCTGGGGCAGCACCTTTCTGCCCTACCACAACCATGTGGAGAGGACCCATGCTGGAGCAGGATCTCCTGACAGGAGCTGCCACCTGCGAGACGATCCGCCTCTGCTCTCTGAGGATAGGCTGGGGCTGCAACAGTTGTGTGTTGTTGTTTGTTTTTTTACATTTCTTAAATCTGCTCTCACAGAGGTGTCTCTCTTCCCTCCACTTTTTGAAGGGAACCCACCTGGCCCTTTTGCTGTGCGGCATGATTTAGGTGTTCCTACTGCAGCAGGGGGATTGGACTAGATGATCTTTCATGGTCCCTTCCAATCCCTAACAGTCTGTGATTCCAGTGCGCAACAACCCTCTTGGTAAAGAACCTTTTCCTGATATCCAGCCTGAACCTCCCCGTCACAGCTTGACACCATTCCCTTGGGTCCTATCATGGGTCACCAGAGAGAAGAGATCAGCACCTGCCCCTCCACTCCCCTTCATGAGGAAGCTGTAGGCCGCCATGAGGCCTCCCCTCAGCCTCCTCTTCTCCAGGCTGAACAGACCAAGTAACCTCAGCTGCTCCTTGTACATCTTCCCCTCTAGGCCCTTCACCATCTTTGTAGCCCTCCTCTGGACACTCTCCAACAGTTTCACGTCCTTTTTGTACTGTGGTGCCCAGAACTGCACACAGTGCTCGAGTTGAGGCTGCACCAGCGCAGAGCAGAGCGGGACAATCCGTTCTCTCAACCAACTAGTAATGCCGTGCTTGATGCACCCCAGGATACGGTTGGCCCTCCTGGCTGCCAGGGCACACTGCTGTCTCATATTCAGCTTGCTGTCAACCACAACCCCCACCCAGATCCCTCTCTGTGTGGGTACTGTCCAACATCTCATTGCCCGGTCTATACATATGGCCATGGTTGCCCCTTCCCAGGTGCAGGACTCAGCACTTGCTCTTGTTAAACTTCATGTGGTTGGTGATTGCCCAGCTCTCCAATTTGTCCAGATCTCTCTGCAAGACCTTTCTATCCTCAATGGACCCAACAGCTCTTCCTAGTTTAGTATCGTCAGCAAACTTACTCAAAACACCTTCTTGTCCTACAGCCAAATCGTTTATAAAAACATTGAAGAAGACTGGCCCTAAAAAGGAGCCCTGGGGACCCCACTGGTGACTCACCACCAGGCTGATATAACCCTATTTACCATAACCCTTTGAGTCCTACCTGTCAGCCAATTGTTCACCCATCCAGCAGTATGCTGGGCATTTGGTCCAGTAGGATCCTATGAGAAACCGTATTGAAAGCTTTACCGCACATTTTTCTGAGTGAGGAGATGGCTGAAAAAAATCCATTAGCTCAGTTTACTCTCCTGGAGAGGCCTTAATTACAGCCCTTTGTTTTTAAATCCTGTCTAGGAGGTGGTGTGACCCTGGTGGTTTGTTCAGCTCAGGAGTCTGCACATTATAGACGTGCTGGGAGCTAGAAAGGGGAAAGTGAAAGAGCCTGAGGGGCAGGGGAGGTGGAGAGGCTGTAGAAAGGGGCTCAGAGGCTGTGTATTGGGTGTTTTCATCCTGCAGAACCCTTTTACAGAGGCAAAGTTGCATTAGAATCTGTGGAAAGATTGAGAAGGGGTTAGGAAGAACTCAGACCTGTAAGGCAGGCTGAGAGATTATATCCTTCTTGGCTCTCTGCACTCCCAGCACAGGGCCGGCTAATGCAGCAAGGACAGTTGGACACAGCACCATCACCCTGGTGTAGACAGCACTGCCCAGGGCTGTTCCCACCTCTGCCCCATCCCTAAGGGGCTCCTTGATCTGGCAAATAGGGCTTGCAGCCTTGCTCTGCTGCCCTCTGCCCTTCCCAAATCTCTGCACAGCCACCAGGCTGCCAGACCCTGTGGGCTGCCGACTAGATCTTAGAAAATGAAGTCATCAGCGCGTTTGTTTTCTTCTCCTTTCTCCTTCCAGAGAAGCTGTACAAACATGAGAGGATCTTCAAGGAACTTTCTTTAAACTTTTCTTCTCTGAGAAGTCCTGGCCTCCCACACTCCCACTCACTGCCACACCACACGGGTGCCCGGCAGGTCCTCCCCCCCCAGCTGTATTTTCCCCCCCAGTGCACAGCTCTCTGCACAGAGTCCAAACTTCTGTGGTGCTGCCCTCGGGGTCCCCTCTGGGGTCCTGGCCCGCTCTTTAGGGGTTGTGGCAGGGTTTGGCCCATCTCCCTGCCCTCCTCACAGGAATGACCCCTCCGTGCACTGATGACCAGAAGTCCTCCATCCCTCTGACCTTCTCATCTCAATCAAATCCCCGGTGCAGGGGCCAGAGGCAACACTTGCTTTCCATTTGGGATCAGGCCTAGACTCTCCTCAGGCCCCCTGGTGCCATTGCCCCACTTCTTCCCTTTCTCTGCCAGTCTCCCAAACCCACTAAAAGCATCTCCGCCCACCCCCACACAGACACCCCCAGCTTCTGGGCCCCTTCTAACTCTGTCCTGTGTGGCTGTTCCTGCCTGACACACTCTCAGCCCATGCCATGCTGAATGCAGTGCCCTCTGTAACAAGCACAGCAGAAAGCACATGGCCAGGATGGTTGGGGAGGCAGGCTTGGAGGAGATTCATTAATCCATGTTTTGTTTAAGAGTTACACTCTGAATCCAGGCAAATCAGTAAGTGACCTGCTCCTGCTGATTGTCGTTTGTTCCTCCTCATTGTTGTTTGTCTCTCCTATTAGAAAATCATTTGAACGTGAAACCATGAGACCCCATGGCTTGCTTTTCTCAGCAAGTGCACAGAAAGTTGTTCTTCTCTACTTTCCTAGGTAAAGTGTAGTTCCCCCAAAGGCTCTCGACCCCTCCCTTCCACAGAAAGTGGAAGTGGCTGCTCTGGTCCACTGCTGCTTCTACGCGTCACTGGACGTGCCCCTGTAATAAACCACATCTTAAGGAAATCCCCTCAATCCCGAGAAGTGGCTTCTTAGAACATCCAAAATGTTTGGAAAAGCGGTTCAAGTAGGTGGCATGCAGAGGATAAATTGCAGCGCAGGAGGACCCCAGGCCACAGACGCCGTGCAGGACTGCACAGAGCAGCACTGTACTGAGGAAGAGCCCTCGCACAGCCACCATGCTCAGCACAAGACCAGTCCTGCTGCTCCTGCTGCTCCTCACCTTCTCCCAGCACTGCGCCACAGGTGAGGCACCTCGCGGGCTGCCAGCACCCTGGCTGGCTGGGGACCTGGCTGGGGATGTTGCCCTGGGGAGCTCAGGGATGAAAGCCCAGCGGGGACGGTGCTGTTGGCAGGAGGAGCAACCTCCAGGGCTCCTGGCTGGGATGGGGCTGCAGGTCCCAGGGGTGCAGGGAAGGACGGGGACAGCACCCTGAGCTGGGTGGCCTCGGTAAAGCTGCCCCCAGGGCTGGCATGTGCTGGGTGGTAAAATGCTGCATGGGGTGAGCCAGATTCTTGCTGGATGGCTGGGTCCCTCTGCGGAGGAGACCTCTCAGGCTGACTTAGGGAAATGCTGCAGTAACTGGGAGAATCATCTTCTAGGAAGCTCTTTCCCAGGGCTCAGCTAGATAACCAAGTGGGTTGAGGGGTCCTGCACCCAGCACGTGCGGCTGTTTGCAGACTCCCAAAATACGCTGCGAGTTGCACCCCCACCTTGGAGACACACAAAACTTCACCCCCCAGACCTAGCAGCCCAATGCCGCTGTGCGATTTAGCAGCTGCTGCACACATCATGGTGCAGACTGTAGGGTGCTGGGTGCAGTGCCACCCCCCCCACCTTTGTCAGCATTTCTGAATTCTGTGCATATCGCCATGAAGGGAAGCAAATCCCTGCCACGGGTGCACTGAGCCTTCTCTGGCCTGAAAGCTTCAACCCCCGTGTAGGTTTCCATTTCCCTGGTGCAGTGCAAGGGAGCAGGAAGCTGCTAAGAAACTCCACAACCTGTCTTACACATCGCATGGTGTAGTTGTCTGACAAAGGAGTTTGCCCAGTGCTGCTAACGGTTTTCACAAATTTCCTCTCCTTTCCATTCACAGCACTCTACACACCTACTGAATGCTGCTTCGATTATGCACAAAAACCTGTTCGGATTGCAAATATAAAGAGTTTCTACACGACGTCCAACGACTGCGCCTTACCTGCAGTAGTGTAAGTATCCAGCACTCTCACCGCTTGGATTTGTCTCCCACCTTGTCACAGAATTGTGCCTGGGAACTAGAACAGCTCTCCCCATCCTGTCCTGCCCCAGAGACAGCTGAAAGATGGGTCCAGCTGGGATCACACCTGAAAGCTGAATGTGGTCCAGCTGGGATCACATTCCTGGGAGTGCATCGAGGTTGGGGGGATGGAGGGGAAGTTGTACATAGAGAGGGAAGCCCTCACAGTTTATCACCATCCTTTCCTCACTTCTTGCTGCAGGTTTGTGACTGCTGCTGGTTTCAAGGTCTGTAATAACCCTCAGAAGCCCTGGGTGAAGAAAACGCTAAATAAGCTTAGAAGAAAAAAATGAAATCCACGTTTTGCCATCCACGGTCAGACTCGTGCCTCCAGTCCTCAGATCTCCAAACGGAGCAGAGGGTGCTCGGTGCAGCTCCCCAGAGGGTCGCATGGCAGCGGGTGCAGGCACTGCACACGGAGCCAGCCTGCGCCCCGAGGGAGGCCGGGCTTTGCGGCAGCACAGACAAGCTGGACACTGCGTACCTCACACTGCTACTGCCCTGCCAGGACGTGCCCAGTGGCAGAAATATTTATAATAAAGACTCATTTCCACAAGCTGCTGTTTGAGTTTGTCCCAGTTTTTCAGCCCGAGGAGCAAATCCAACAAGCCCAGAGCACGGTGTGACCAAAACGCCTGCTGGGTACAGGCACGCGTTTCTGTGGGGTAGGAACTAACTCTGCCTCTTCGTGTTGGGCGTCGTTGGGGATGTGACAGTGGGGCCAGGTCTTGACTTGTGCGTTAGGCTACGTCTTTATGGCATGCTCTCAGCCCCACACGCGCTGCAGGTGCTCCAATATTTGATGCTCAGGAGCAGGGGGTTGAGGGAGAATATACTGATCTGCCAAATCCAGCTCCCTCACTGCCTTGTCAGCCTCTAAATGCACTGGTGTTTGGTCAAAACAGATGAGGAAGACTAAAAATAATGTCCACAGTGCCAGTATGATGAGGACACAGCCCACCTTTCAGCTGCTTTTTGTAGATGCTGGGCATACTCTGCAGGTAACACGAGCATGAGAAGAGGTGCCTTGGGTGCAGACCTTGTCCAGGGCTGGGGAGGGGTGGGAGCAGCACAGGTGTCACTAAAAATCAGATTTGTGTAGGTTCACAACAGGACTGGATTATTATGGGTATAGATTATGGGTATATAGATTATTATGGGTATATGTTATGGCAGAGCTCAGGCCCTGCCTGAAGATGGTCAATAACAAAAGGGCACAAATAAAAAAAATAAACAAACAAATAAATAAATAAATCCTGGTATCAAACCTGGGTAGGACTTACCTGAAAGTCCTAGTGGCAACTGCTCATTGCCCTCAAATGCACATGAGGGGCAGCCGTGCCTGAGATAAGAGCCTCCTGTGACTGCAAGGGACCTGTGTAATGACAAGCACACCTTCCTGCTGCCGTCTGCTCACCTGGAGAGGTGAGAAAAGGAAAGGAAGGAGGCAGGACCACACTGCCTTATCCCCACTGTGCTGCCCAGGACAGCCCCCCTCCGGCAGGGCCGGACCCCAGCTGGGCTCGGCCGCTTGTCCCCACCAGCACAGCTCCAGGTGCCCAAAACGCAAGCAGAGACTCACAAAGCACACGGCTCCACGCTAGCTCTTGCACATGGATGTGTATTTTAATAAAAATAATTCTGTCAATATACAGCAGAACGTTGATTTCTTTACCATATTTCCAGTATATTTTCATAGGCTTTTTTTTTTTTTTCTCAGTTAAAATCCCCCCTCCCCCTTTGAAGTTTTCATGCGAAGCATCAGATAACTTAATTCACAAATACTAAGCTTAGACTGAACCAATGTGCACAATTTGTGTAATGTCCATTTAGCTGATGGTGTACCAACGAGGAGGAAAACCCCCCTCAAAAGGCGATGAAAAGTCTGGAGCGGCAGAGGGAGATCTGCTCTGTCGCAGCCCAATTGCGGCTTTTCGTCCAGGGCTGATGGGAAGCCTGCACAGACCTCATTCCCCACGCTCCAGCTGAGCATTTCATACCTGAGTTTTGAGCAACCAGCAGAAGAGAGTTAACTGTGTCACGGGCAGGTCCTTGGGCTTGCACCGCTGAATGGCCTGGATCGTGTGCAGGAGCTTCAGGTGCCGGCAGCCTCCTCCTGCCCCCCTGGCTGGAGAGCCACAAAGAGTGCGCACAGGTGGGACCGAGAGAGAAAATCCCAATCGAATGCCTGTGCGGAGTACTTAGTCTGAAAAAGTCACCACACTTCTATGTTTAAAATTTTCTGAAAAATCCTGATTATCCCCAGAGCCGCTGTTGCTTCTCCTTCTCAATGCCTGAACCTCTGAGAAGCCCGGCATGCAGGAGCCCCCCGTGCTTCTTCAGAGAGGAAGGAAGCAGCTAAAGCCCTCCTGAGCAGAGGGGTGTGGATAGCAGAGCACGTTCCTGGACACAAGTGGAGCGAGCAGAGAAAAGGTGTCTGCCTAGGCAGGGCAAGTTCACCAAGGAGCATGACCTCCAGGAACGTTTCTGCAGGACCGTGAGTGTAAACCCCACACAGGGCCCTTCTTCTTGTGAGCTGGAAATGGTTATGCCTCCCTCCTGGAAATAAAATGGTTGTCAGGAAGATACGGGGCAGGCGCTCTTCAAGCCTGGAGGAGCTCTTGGTTTGTTGGGCATCGCTACAGCTCAAAGCTGCAGGCTCTGCATATTGTGTGTGGGATGCAGGGAGAGTGACAGACACGCAATATTCACTCACCCACCACCTCTTTTTGCAGGGAGGGATAGTGGAGAGCAGGCGGTGCTTCCTTTGGAGGAGGCCTCCAGGCTCTCAGCTGCTCCCTTTTCCCCGAATGTGCTGTAACTCCCCACTTCCCCCCACGCCCCCTCCACCAACACTTCCTCCAGCTCTGTGACCTACGCAGCCGGTGGGGCATTGCTCACAAAGTTTTGGCTCTCGGAGCTGCAGGACTGCAGAGTGCCGCTCGTTCTGGAGCAGCAGAAGGGTCTCAGCAGCACACTGCACGTGTCCCCTCCCTCCCTCACAACCTTCTGCAGAAGCAGCTAGGGACAGAGATGTGCCAACACCAGCTTTCTCTAGGACACTACGCCCCTCAGGATCCACCACTGAAGCTGCTCTTAACTTGGGCACGGTTTTAAGGAAATCACTCCTCCTGCAAATGGGACACCAGGGCAGACCACGACCACCTTTTCAGGAACAGGTTCCTTCTCCCATCAACGCTGGGCGGTCTCTCCCAGGTGAGGCTGTCCCAGTCCTCTATACACAACTACACCGGATAACAAAGGTGCTACGGGTCAACTCTACCTCTCAGGAGGGAACTGCTGGTCTGAAACTGGCCTTGGCTGGCCCCAAAAAGCTTCAGGACAACCGTGACCAGCTCCATGAGGCTTCATGGTGTGCAGAATTGAAGCGGGAGGGACCTCTCCACCTGCTGCTCCATGGAAAGAACCTCCCAGCAGTGTTTTGTGCACTCATGGCATTCACACGTGGTTATACGGCCTGGCCACCACAGCCAGCCTTCTCAGCCACCCCCTTGGTGGCAGAGGGAACTCTGAAAGTTGTGTTTAAGCAATGTGTTACACAGGTATTAAGAGAGGTAACAAAGCATAGCAGCATCGCAGCAATCCAACAAGGTTTGCTCTGCTGGACAAGGAGATAATTCGTTGTGCCTGATGCCTAACGAGGAAAATGATCAGTTCAATCCCCACAGTTAGTGAACCCAGCTCTCCTCGCTCCAGTTGTTCAAGGGAGTTTTCAAGAACAAAGCTTTCTCAAGAATGATAAGGATGTCTTCATAAGACTGTGACACATCAGGGCACAGCCTGAGGTCAGGCAGAGATGTCACTGTTAAAACAAAAATAAACAAAAACTCCCAGAAGGAATAACCAGGCAGATGGGAAAAACCTAAGTGTACACAACCACAAGATGCAATACTCCCGGGCCAATTTTCCATGCCAAAGACGGCATCGCCTGGTGTCCAGATCAGCAGCAGCACAGTGAGCACAACCAGGAGGTTGGAAATAGCACCACGTATCCCAAAGCAGTGAGCTGGAGTCCTGGCACACACAGAGGGGCTGGAGGGGAGGGAGAGCAGCCACAGGACAGCCGCCCCCCTCTAGCTGGATGCTGCTTACCCAGTGGTTCATTCTGGAAGTCCCTCTCCATTCTGCTGGCCACATGCAGTGGCTCAGTTCCTAACCAGACCCCAAAAGAACAGCAGAAGTGGTACGGGCAGTCCAACTCCAGGCTGAAGGGAGCACCGAACACTGCAGGTATCACCTTGATGTTAACACAGGTGGGAGAATACTGTGAATTTGAGAAGCAAAGGGGCAAGAAGGGAGATCTGGTAGCAGTAACAAGTTTTCCCACAAGAAGCTGGCCCTAAGAGCACATCTCAGGATGCGCAGGGGACAGAGCGCTGCCCTCCCTGCCCACAGGAGAGCTCACTGAACCCCGTAAGCGTTGGGTTCCCAGGACACTGTTCTCAAAGGCAAGACTTTGGTCTCAAAAACAAAGCTCATGATGTGCAGGGCTGCAGTTCAGCATCCATGGAAAGCAGATTTTCACTTGGTCACTGTGAAGTTATTCTTCTGAAAGGCTCTTGTCTGCCAGCCCACAGGCTGTAGCTGTGGTGGTGACTCTGCACTGACCACTTGAGGCATGAGGTTCTCTGAGTGTGCAGAGATGGCAGAGTTGGAAAAGTTGTTCAAGCTGCAGCATTTCACATGCCCTGGGAAGGAAACCACAGCTAGAAAGCCTCTCCTGTGGCTGCATGGATAGAAATGTTTCCTGAACTGTGAGTAGCCCGTGGCTGTAGTCTGGAAACCTCTCTTCTAGGATCTGAAGGCAGCTCAGCAGAGCAAGCTACATGGCAACCTCATGTGGTGAAGGTCCTGCATCCGATGCCATCAGCATCATAACACAGGGGCACAGCTGAGACCTTGTTAGCCTCGCCAAGAAATGGGAAAGCAGCAGTTTCTCCGAGCAGCTACACAATTGTGTGGCCTTACTGAAGGCCTCTTGAGAGAAGTGACACTGTGAGGGACTGCCCAAATAAAGCACAGCCTCAGCTGGGGTGCTCTTAAGGCCTCTCTCACTTATTCACCTGTTTCTGAGCAAAACATGGAGGCACTTGAAATAAATCCCAAACTCCTTTTATAAAACTAACTTTTAAACTGCATGAAGCCTCTGGTTATACTGTATCCGTGCTCAAAATTAAAGACCTTAATTCACTTTAGTTCCGTTCCTTTTTTTAAAATGACTGCGACAATTCAAATCAATCTCACCGATATCATAGCAAGGTTCCAAAATATAAATCATCAAGGAATAGCCAGGAAAACTCAAAGACCAGGAGGCTTTTAAAAATAACCTGGGAAAACCAAATCAGAAATCTCACCTAGGAAACAATGGTAGGTTTGAGCCTACACCTACACGTTCCCCAACACTGCATACATTCATCTTGCCCACAGTGATTCATAATCACATTAGTCAGAACCTAAGCACAACAAGCAGAATCCACTAGTGACGCTGCAAGAAAACCTGAAACCAAAAACCAAATAACAGAACACGTCATAGCAGAAAAGCCTCTGAGCTTCCCAAAAAACAGAAGCAGGACTCCGGATGCAAGAGCTCACCAGAAGCTGGCCGCAGCAACGTGTGTTGGTTACAGTTGTGAGGCCAATTAAAAATTGGATCAAGTAGAAAGGGGAAAAACAACTCAACCTAGCACTGCTGCTTTGAGTGCAAGAAGTGAAAAGCATCACTGCTCTCCAGACTGCAGGGATCTACTGCCACTATACGATGCACAGCATCAGTGGCAGAAAGAGTGACTCAGCCCTGCTACATGCAATTAACATAATTAAGAATGTGGCCTCTCAGCACTAACCTTGACACAACAGCAGGATGGTTTCTACCACTGGAACAGTCTCCATGAAAAGCCAGGAAGACCACCTCATCACATTTCTCTTGGCACCAGAATAAGCAGGTATTTCGGAGCATCTCTTGGTTCTTTGTAGTGAAAGGGGATAGAAAATGAAAAAATGCTCTAGGAGTCAGCACAGCTTTGCTGAGAGACCAAGGGAGACGTTAATGTGATACACAACAAAGAGACTTTGCTTAAATGGAACCACAAATTACAACAAAAAGAAGGAACGGAAAACTCAGAGAGATAAAGATGGCCTCATTAACATAAATTAAAGGAAGTCTGACTACACCCAGACAGCAACAAGTTAAATGATAACCAACAGCACAGGAAGCAGCCAAATGTGAAAGGCAAAACCACTTAAGTGCAGTATGTGCAACCTCAGTACCCACAATCAGCCTGCCAGTGTGCCCTAAGCCTGGGTCTGGGAAATGGAGAGCCTGCAGAAGAATCTCTCACCGGGACAAGTTCACTGCCTCAGTTTCAGCAACAGCACTGGGGCACGACGGGCTGGGTGAGGCACCACGCGCAGGTCGAGCATCCAGCACTCCAGGAAGGAAGCCTGCCCACTGAGTTGAAGTGTCTGAGCAACTGAAGCAACGTAAGGACTGTAGGTTGGGATAATATCCATCATGAGCTGACTAGGAAAGGTGAAAATAAATTGGTAAGTTTTCAGGCACATGAGCTCTTCTGAATTTAAACAGAAGCCCCAGATTTCCACGCTGAATTATTTTGCTTACTACCTACTTCTACTTATTTAGAAGTATGGCTTCAGTTCTCAGAGTTCCCTCAGGCTTTTTTTCAATGAGTTGATCTAATAAAAATATATCCCCCATCTACAAATGTCACATTACCTGTTTTTGTAGACCACCATGGCACTAGCACTGCCTCTACACACTGTATACCTTCACCAAAAGGTAGTGACAGGCATTTCCAGCCACCTCCAACACCACCTCCACCTGCACATACACAGCCACAACCATTTGTCCTCAGCACTGCCACAACCAGTCTTACTCTGCATGCTTGCCCTCCTGCTCTGCCTCAATTTCAAACTTTGCGTTCCAGCTGTAAATCAAGTCTGCAAATGCAGCAAAAGTTTAATAAGCTCCAGGCTACAGCACTGAGTTCACACACAATCTTTCTTTCTTAGATGCTCTCTTGCTGCTTAAAGCTCTGGCACAGGCTAACTACCATTTTAAGGGCAAACCTCAACACAATCTATTTATTTTACTTTGAGCCTTCCAGAAAAATAAAATAAAATCAAGAACAGCAGTAAAATACATGTTGGGTACGAGCTCCCCTGGGCTCTTGTCACAGCTACAGACCTTAAATTCATTTGGTGCAGAATCACAATTCCTCCTGTGCAGACAGAGTGGAACAGAAGCCTCCTGATGGTATACACTACAGGAGGATGCAAAGCCTGCATCCTGCTACACAGCCTCACCAGCTCAAACTACACGCTCAGAAACATTTACAGGCTGATGGTTTGAATTCCAAAAGCTTAGGACTTGAGTCCCTGGACCACAGCAGTCATTGCCATGTCCATCCTACCTGGAGGTTACTCACCCACAGATCCTTGCTGATCACTTTTGGACTTGAAACTAAAATCATTTTCGTAACAATCCTCCAAAGAAACATTGCTGCTCCTGTCTTAACGTCTCAGACCATACAAACCTAGCCCTGGCGCTAACCCACAACCTGGTCTGGGCATTTGAAGCCTGCAGGATGAGCACAGTTCAACTTAGTGTTCTTAAGATTCTTCTAAAATTTAGCGATTCTTGTTTAGATCAGTGTTATGGGGGATCAGTAAACACTATTTTATTGAGTCTTGGTGACAGAGCCCTCCTGTATGGAAAAAAATGGGGATTTGTGATATAACACACAAGCCAACAGCCCAACTGAGCAGCAACCACAACTTTTTCTTACTATGATCTACTTCTACCAGTACACTGGCAGATGATTCCGTATTAGTCAGTCCTGTCCCCCTAGCCACTGTGAGAGATAGATTTACCCACTTCTTGGGGACGAGAGATGCTTCTACACTGCAGCAACTAACACAGGCAATGTCAAGTCTTCTACTCTTCTCACCCACAAAGACAAGCACTTGAGAGCCCTGTGCTCTTACAGAGGCATATACCAGTAAAAACCAAGCTCCTCCAATTCCCGTCATTACCACCTGACGGGACATACCTCACCAGGTCTCCTGCGGGGATGTATGATGTGTATGGCTGGGCCCAAGTCTCTGGGCAATAAATACATCAATGACTTTGTGGAGGTGGAAGAGACCTTTTTAATAAACAGGATTCAAATAAAATTAAAAAAGAAAAATCCCTCTGAACTGCCACTGTGAGAAGAGTTCAGGTAACTAGCACAGAAGATGATGCTGCATGTGCACAGATGGAGGGAGGAGGGAAGAAAAGAACAAGCTGTCACCAACTTCATGAGCTTCCTCTGTAAATCAGCAGAAACCAGCTCAGCAAAACTCTCCAGATAAAATACTGGTGGATCCATGAGAAACAATCAAATCAAAATATAGAGAAATCCCTACGTTGGAAGGCGCTACGTTAGAATAACCAGCAAAATACTGAGCGCCGCCAGAGCCGCAGCAATGGCAGGGAGACAAGAAAGATCTGCCAGTCACTCCTGGGGGCAGGAATGGCCACGTAGTGAGGGACTAACTCAATCCTTTCACAGGCAGTGTGTGTGTGCTAGAGGGGGTGTTGGTGGCAGGGACGTCAGGCTATAGACGAGGTGGTGCTGTAGTGGCAGCAACGGAGGGTGAAGGGCAGCACTCAACGATGTCAACTCCATCTTGCTCTGGTGGCTAGTGCAAATAGTCGTCTACTCTGGCAAAGGAACAGGAGCCCAAGCCCACGCGAGCCATGAGCCGCAAACACTCCGAGGCCTGGCCCAGGGCAAGCATCAGTGGGGGCTGCTTTGGCAGGTTCTGAGATTCTGTGGGGGCAAAAAGAGAAATCTGTTTAGAAGAGGCATCCTAGCTGCACGCTGGCTCACCTGCACTCAGGTCCCCCTATGTCCCAGCTGAACACCGAGCCAAGCAAACCTTGCAGAAGACGGTAGCTCTGGCAAGAAGTTACTGCTGAGGAATGCTGGCTCTGCACCACTGCTCCGGTGCATACCCCACAGGCCTGCCCATGCATGACACGTCCCACCCTGGGGACACAGCTCAAAAGGGCCTTTTAGAAAGTGCTGCTTTTCAGAAAGTGCTGCTTTCTAAAGGTGACCACAGCAAGAAAAAGGCAGCGTAGCTCCTGCTGCCTCAGTGCCTGCTGAAAACCTCAAAGCCTAAGAGATCAGAGCACAGAAAAATAAGGAAAGGCAGAAGTTAGCCCAAAGGGAGAGGCAACTGCTCCCTCTCCCACTTGTGCAAGTCTACACAGTAATGTAGAAAAAAAAGCCGATACACGCTCAGTCACTGGTCACCACCTCTTTTCAACATCATGTTTGCTAGGTCTGTGTCAGGGAACCCAGAGCTGCTCTGGTCAAGGTACGTGTCTTGTGAGCTGTGTGACGAAGCACTTCCAGACACCATCTTTCATTTCTCACTGCTGACATCCCTCAGCAACTTGTGTAGGCTTCTCAAGCAGTGGGCAAACAGTGGCTGGAGCTCAGCCATTCTGCTGGACACCTGGCCACGCTGACCGTCAGGGGAAGGGACTCTTCTGAATTGTAGAACTTCTGTTCCTTTACTCAGACAAAACAGGAGTTTGCTCATCAAACTGCTCCTTCCCCCAGAAGATAAGTTCTAAATCTCCTTCTGGGGCACTAAATGTCAGGTGCACAGACCCAATAGGGGTCTGGAGTCTGCACAGGAGCCAGTCTCCTCTCTGTCTCAGAGAGGCTGCCCAGGGGACTGCATGTGGTCAGCTGGACTGATCTAACCAAGACAGAAGAGCATCCTCTGAAATTATCTGAGCAATGGCACAGCACACGCAGGATTCAGTGACAGGATCAAGGGGCCTGCCTAGACTGAAACAATCCCTTTCTTGCAGACTGGTGGCAGGTTATAACCTTGTTATCCCTATACTCATTACTCCACCAGGGGAGCAAAACTCATCAGGAAAAGGGGAGCTGTCTTGATAGCTGTAGAAAACCAACCTATAACCTACAGACCCCGCATAGAGCAGGTCTTCACCAGTAGGACAGCCCTGATTCCAACACCAGACACCAGGCTCTCTGGGCTCCAACAAGCACACCACATGATGGGAACATGCAGAGGCATATGCTTGTAGGGAAGACAAACCCTGGCTGCATTTAACTGTGAGTGTTCAACATGGCCTCAAAGCTAAGAGGAATTTATGGCCCTCTATGCTTTAGAGCCAACACTATGGGAACCTGCTTTGCTTACAAGCTGCTGCAACAGAGTAACTGCATTCCCTACCAGAAAGCAGCTTGATGCCAGATCAAAAGTCTGGCAAACAGAATATTCTCTGAACAGAAGGTTCTCCCAGACAACATGGAAAACAGCCTTGCTAACATCAGCAAACTGCTTCAGGTGGGTTCAGAGCAAGAAAGAAGAGGGGCAGGGAAACACATCAGAGAGATATTGGCTTCCTCAGAAAGCTGGTGAGGAAAATCCTGAAGAGAATTCTCAGAAGCAGCACTGAGGAAGATCCAAGGGAGCCAAATAAAGATCAGATCAGAGGCATCCATTTTATGCAGGCTTCACTCCTATCTCCCTTCCTGTAACCCTTCCCTTTCAGCAACAGAAAGAGAGGCAATGGCTAAAGATAAGTACTTCCAAACTTTCCCTGACACTCACAGGCTGCCTGCCACAGGACAGTGCCCGAGAACAGGTATGTCCAGTGGGTAGCACTCACATAGGAACCAGGCCTTACCCAATATAGCACTATTAAGAGCAGCACAAACAGGTTCCCTCTGGATTGGGTCCAGCTGTTGACCAACAGGGCAGTTCCAAGGGTCTGAGTAAGCTAACAAGCTAAATGCGTCCTGTGTGAGAGAACAGAAAGGCACAGTAAGTTCATGCATGGCTGCAAATACACAGGAATGCCACCAAGTCTGTCAGCCAGGGCACCTCCTGCCATCGCCAATGTGACAGGTGCCTACCTCCTGAAAAAAAAAATGGCCCTTTTCTTCTTGGCAACAAGGGACCACACTGGGCCATCAAGATAGCAGACTAAAGAGGGTGCTGTCTCCACCTGGCAGGGGAGCCAGCACATGAAGGCAGGCAGAGTGCCACCTAGAGAGAAGAGCACGCAGTTGCCCCTAGAAGGCAGGCAGGAGCTTTATTTCCTCTCTCCTGTGCTGAGAACTGTGTCTACATGCTCTATGTTCATTGAGTTTCATCCTCTGATCCCCAAGCAGGCCCCCTCTTCCCCTCCAGGTGCAGATGTGGTGGCCACCCAGAGCTCTGCAAGAAAAGCCACAGCTCCAGTCCTGGCCCAGAAAACTGCAGTGAGGCAGCATAAAGCCCGGGCTTACCTGAAGCATCTTTTTGTGCATTGTGTTCTTGCCATATTCTCTGCAAAGCTGCTCACTCAGCATCTGCAGCTCCCGCCCGAACTGGATCATTCGCTCTGTAGCAGCATGGTTCCCTCCGCAGAGCTGCCTCTGGGAGCAGCTGTCTTCTAGGGGAAAAGCAGGGGAGAAGGAACAATTGTCACTCATTCCACACCATTGCTCACTGTGTGTCATGCAACCCTTTCTTAGCCACGAACTCCTTTCCCTTCTGGAGCAGGTAGGTGCTCCCCGCTCAAAGTTTATGCAAGTAGCAGCTTTTTCTGAGCCCTACACTATAAATAGCAGATGGTCATGTTTTTCTTTAATTCTATTATTTTAATGGTTGAGGACTATCTACAAATCAAGGCTTCTAATAAAATCATGGGAACTTGGAATTCCAGCTGTGTTACCCTTTCATGTGTGCCATGGAGTGCATGTACAGCAAAAAAAACCTGGTCTAACAAACCCTGCACTCAGAAAACTTTCAGTCAGCAATACCAACACCACCAACTTCCCAACATTAGGTGGCCACAAGGCCCACTATAGCTGGAGGAATTCCCACTTTCAGAGGTAGTGTAGCTCATTTATCCTATTGCTTTCCCTGGTCCACAACATCACCAGCACTGCTGTATGATTATGAAAAGCCAAACCTAGTTTCAGTTCCAAGACAGATTAATTTTCCTTGTGAAATAGGTATCTTGAGAACTGCATTCACCGGGGCTGGGAAAGAAACCCAAAAGTACACGTTTTTCCCCCACAATCCAATCACAACTTTAACTCTTGATACTGGCCCCTTCTATTTCCCATTACCCCTCCTGCCTGAGGCCCTACCCATGCTGGATTCATCCGTCTGCAGGATCTCTTCATGTTTGTAGGTGCCGTTCATTATCCTGGTGGATGAATTTTCCAGGACTCCATTGGGGTAGTGCTCGGCCTCCATTTCCATCTCGCTGTCACTGAGGTGAAAGAAGGAAAGAAAGGCCAGATGTCTAAATTAGGGAAGAAATGAAGAGCTCAGATGACAAATGATGCCCAGCAACGGCCAGGAAACCAGGATAGGTGTCAGTTAAACTCCAGGAAGCAAGATGGTTTAATTCAGTGTAGCAAAAATTGTTTCTAGCTTCTGAATACAACTTATGAAACAGGCTTCTGTTCTGCTTGTGCTTGTCATAATTCCAGGTGCAGAGCGCTCATCACTTTCACTGCAAGAAGCAGTCACCTCTGGACACTGAACAGCAGCCAGACAACAGAGAACATACCAAACAGGAGGAAAATCTTAGCTGTGGTAAGCCATCATCCCTTCTGACAAGTGCAGTACAGAAAACACAAGGGCTTTAGGTTTAAATGTTCAAGACAGCAGTCTGAATAAGACTGTTGATTAACTCAGAAAAATGAAATGATGAGAAAATCATGCTGGCCTTTTTTTTTTTTTTTTTTTTTTTCTGAAAATTGCTCGGCACAGTACTCAAGACAAATGCCAGCTGCAATTAGCAAGGAATTCTATTAATCACAGTGATATTCTTCTGCTCCAGAAGGGCCACAGACAGCCCTGTAACACCAACCTGCAAAGTGAGCCCAAAGGAAGCTTCAGTTCTCACCACTGCTCCATATACTCCACATTCCAGTAAATGCAGCAGTAGCTATTCCCTGTTCTCCTGGACTGCCTATGGCTTCTCAGAGAAGTGAAGTTTTATAAGTCTGGCCTGCTGTCACAAGTGTGAAACAAATTGCTTTTGATTCAGGGGCATATCTCAAAGGACAACAAATTGGGCAACAGGTAGAGGTAGACCAAGAAAAATACTCAAGGGCAGCATACCAACCCAGTAATCACTTGGGCTGCTGCCTCACCTACAAAAGGGCAGGCAAGCTTCGTATCAAGGGTAATTCACTGGCTGAGGCAGCTGAACCAAAGAAAAGCCCAATGGGAGAGCTTCTATGCAAACTATCATGTTGGGCTCTGACGGCATCAGTTTAATGGGACAAACTGATGTTTAAAACAAGACCATTCTTATATTCCTCATGAGATAAGCCTCCAAGCCTGAGCTAGAACAGGGAACTGGGACAGGCTTATGTCTGCTGGGAACAGTAGTGACCTTGCAGATGAGAAGAGTTCCTCTGTCTTTTAAAAGAGCAGGGCAGATGCTCTTCTGGCTCTTCAGAAAGAACACTGAGCCCTCTCCCACCATCTCACCCTCCACAGGGATCTATAAAGAAAAAAATATACCTGGTTTCTTGGTTACTTGTACTACTGTGCTGCTGAGATTTGGTAGAATCTGTAGAATTGGACTCCGAGTAGTTCACAGATGAGGGGGAGGAGGAGGAGGAAGATGAAGATGATGAACTCAGTGTTGGGTATTTACTGTGGCTCTGTTTGCTCTTTGTGGACATGACTCCATTGCTACAGGTTGGACTATCTGCTCCTGAAAGTTAAGAAGGAAGAGAGAAATGAGACCAGACTGACAATGACACTCTCTTGTGAAGTTAACCATTAGTAAGACAGGCAGATCCCAAATGAAGGAAGCACAGTAAGACTGGAGATATAGATCTCTGACTCTGTTCAGAGAAACATACCTAGCACTTCTCACGACATGATATAGGAAAGCAAAGATATTGGCTTGGGAAGGTGCATGACAGCTTTGAGGAATTCAAGTGATTGTCTTCCTTTCCCTTAAACATTTGCATGTTCACAATTTCTTACATGCAGCAGTGGGAACACCAAAACAAAACATATACAAAAAGTATAGATGGCTGTGAGCAGCTCAAGGCTCAGTGAAGCAGCTCAAACCGTTTTCATGGGCTCTGCTCCCTGGCCCACTCATCTTCTAAGCCACAGCCAATAATTACCTAGAAAATATATCTCAGGGTGTCCTGGTTTACCTTGTTCTTTCTTCTAATCCTAAAGCTTAATTTCCCTAACTACAAAAAGTTGATGTTTCTGAGAGCAATTTTTGCAGGCACAGAACTGTTTCCTTCTTACGTGTTAAGAGATTCCAGGGTACAGACCATGGGAGGAGAAGCACTCATGCAAGGCATCCCCCTAGCCTTTTGCTAAATTGGCTAGAACCGTGTATCTTATGCCCAGTCTGTGTTAATTTTCTGCAGTCTGAAGGGCTCCTGTTGGAAAGCAATTATTTTGCACACTTCAGGGTACAGAAAATGGGCTTTATTTTCCAGAATCTCCTCTTACAGCTTCGTCTGTAAAACTGAGCCACACGATGGCTCCACTAGAAGGCCACCTGTAAAAGCTTTTGTTCTAAAAAGAAAAAGGACTCTGCACACAATAGTCTGTGGAAAACAGCTCACGCAAAACCAATTTCTTAACAGTACAGAGACACCTACCAAATCAGTATGTCATCTCAGCTGGTTCTCAGAAAGAAAAGGAGCATTTCATAGAACAGAAAGCAGTAGGTAAGGCAATATACACCAGTTCACCTTTAACATTTGTTCTGCTCACCCGAAGACACAGGAAAAGCACTTACCAGTACTATGAACATGTGAGTTGTTTGATCCATGTCTAGGACTTAAGCTGGGGGACCCTGGGTAACTGTCCTGGGATCTGGGGCTGCGTGCACTGAAACAACGTACTTCACTGTCTGTCCCATTCACCATCTCCACAAACTGCCGACACCTGATTTCATAGGAAGGAAGAAGAAGAAAAGGGTGTGTGACAGCCAGGATGTTCTGCATTGATGTTTCCTTAGTTACTGTCTGCAGAAGTCCTAGAAATTGGACAGGAGTTAAATGTCCTGGCTTTGAAAGAGACGTTTTAGACTCTTGCTGCTCATATTTTGAGTGCTCTGATAATGCTATAGCAGGAAGGAGTTCAGATGCTGCCACTCAGAGCTAACAAATGTTGAGAACCAGATAGAGACAGACGAGCAGTATACCAACAGTCAGCCTCTTTTCAGTCCCACACTTAATAGGAAGCACTTGTGTCATTACTAAAAGGGGAGCACTTGTGTCATTGACAAGATGCTCCACCTTGGCTGGCATCAGCAAAGGCAGAGATAGGAAAAGAAAAAGCATTTCAGCACCAATGGGGCCAGTGGTGCAAGTATGAGTTGCCATAGTATCAGAAGTGAAACACTTCACAGATTCAAAACACAGCACGTTTCTTGCTTGGCAGGATAACCCCAGGCCTTAGATAATATTCCTCCAGTTAACCAAATGTTCCCACACCTCTCCTGCTCTGGACCCAAGAAAATTCATGTGATGGTAAGCCTGCTGTTAGGACACATGGTGGGATAAAGAGCATTTTCCTTGTTCCAAAAAACAAGTTTACTTCTATTGTGCTAAGAAGAAATTATTCCTTTACAGTGTGATTTCAGCTCCACCACCGCTGCAGGTACTCCAAAATTAGACTGTGTTTTTTTTTTAATTCAGGGCAGATACTAAAACTGCCAGCAATAGTCCCCCCCCACTCAATCAATATAGAAATTACGGTGTCCAATGGGAAATAGACAGCAAAGGGTAAAAAAATGCAGTATCCACAGCGAGGACAGCTCCTAAGTTAGCTTTACTGGGAACTCTGTCCTTACACATCTCAGGAGGCTGGGAAGAGCAACCCTGTACAGCTGGGACACATTTTCCTTTCGGTCTCTACCCCCAGTAGCCTCTTCCATACATGCGTCTTTCTAGGAATCTTTGCAGTGACCACCATGTGCTGCAGTGTTGCAAGTTCTCCACAAGATAAGTAAAAGCCAGCTGTGAAGGGAGTTTCTAGCAGTCAGCAGTACTAAAATTTTACCCACCTCTGCCTGACCGCATGAGGCAAAGCCATACCAGATCTGAGGAGCAACAGAAGGGCTACGTGCTAAGTCCTCTCCCACCTGCTCCCAAAGAGACCTCAGACAGTTAAGAATTCAGACCGAGGTGTGCAGCCTGACTGGGCTGGGCAGCCCCTTTCTTATCTCCTTCAGCTTCACATTTCAGAATTAGGGAGTAGAAAGCTATTCATACTTACTTTAACATGAAGAGCAGGTTGGGGTTATGTTCTAGGAGGCCAGGATAGAGCTGCTGGGTGGCTTCTATAGCCTCTCCCACTCTGCCTGCTAATACTAGCTTCTGTATTCCTGAAAGCAAAAGGAGACCTATTGACACACAGGACAGGCCAACAAGAATGGCCAGCAGAGTTTCCGAGTGAAGTCTCACATATGGCACACAGCTCCCCGCTACCACCTTGCACAAGGGCTAGGGAGAACTGGGGACCACATTTTATTCATTATGGATTAGGATGAGGAAAAGTGTGAAAATGAGGGAGAATATCTGTTAGTAGCTCAGAAACACCTGGAGCATCTGAAAAATGAAGTGGGTGTGCTGGGGTGGGGTGCTCTGTGACTTTAGTCCTTTAGTCATGGAGCTACAGAATCCCTTAGTCAGCAGCAATGGAAAAGACAGCAGGACACAACAGCTGGACGGGAGCAAGGAGGCTACTGGGGAAGTAACAGTTTCAGAGGGGAAACCCCTAGGTCGCCCCCACATTACAACCTCTGTCTGCTTCACGCTTGGAAAATTGCTGTAAGGCTGACCTCCAGACAAGCAAGCTATTCTTAGCAGGTTTGGAGGCTTAAGCCACAGCACAGTACTGCTTCCTTACTATCCCTACCCCCAAGTAAAAGTAACAATACCATCAAAATTGGCTTCCTGCAACTGACCTGGGCCTGCAATGAGGACATGGCACCTGTAAGCTAGCTCCAGCAATCAGGTTTTGGCTAAACTAAACTAGACACAGCTCAGCAAGCTGTACACTTCTATGAGGTGCAAAGACACAAGGCAGAAGCCATGTATTATCCCTGTGTGTTCATATCCCACATATGTTCCTTCAGTGGGTCAGAAAATACTACTAGAAGACTTAAGATACTCGCTGATTCCATCCCAGGATACTCAGGGAACCTAGTAATTTACAGAGGTTTGCATTTTGTTTTTTTCTAAATGTACTTAAAACTAAAAATGTATTGTACTTCCCTCTGCTTTTTCAGGTCTCCTTACAAACAAGAGTAGGTTACCAATGCCTGGGAGGTGTTTTGCAAGCACAGGCACTAACAGCAACAGACTGAGATTTTTGCAAATCATGAGCATTACTAATTGAGCTCATTACTAATCCCCAATAACAATTTGAAAGAAGTTGACTTGGCTCCCATTTTTCAGCATGTATTTGCTTCTTATCCTAGCTGAAAGCTAAAACCAAAGATGTGGTTCTCACACCAACACGTGTTGCAGTCTCCTTCATTTCATTCTGTTTCTTCTACTTACTTAAACGTCATTTTTCATGTCTTGCTACTTTTTGTTGCTCTTATCGCCTTGTTTGGCAGCTTTCACAGATGTCTCTGCCTTTTCTATTTTCTCTTTTTGTTTTCCAGTCTGTGTCTTCCTCACACCTTTTATTTGAGCCCCAACTGCAGAGCTCTGTATTCCTTCCCTCCTGGCTGCCTTGCCACCTGTCCTCAGACGAACCAGACTGTGTTGTCTCACGCATCTCCTGACCATTTAAACACAAACCAGCATGAACCCTGGCTGGGGTGAGGGCTGCATGATGCATGACCTGGAAAACATACAGCCCATCAGCACTATCCATGCAAAGGCACTGAGGAGCAGCAGCTATTATTGATTCTGGGCATGAAGCTGAGTACCCAAACCAACCCGAATGCTGGCTAAGCACACGTAATGTATGGAGGGAGAACTACAAAGGGACACGATGCACCTGATGCATAACTGTCACATGAGAAACAGTTCACAAAGGGAAAGGAAATGCATAGGTCAGGGCTTAGCTTGCATTCAACAGGCAGGAGAATGCAGAACACACACCAACATTCTGTGACCCTGCGGTCTGAGCCTGTGAATAGAATGGCTACAAAATAAAAGTACAGCAAGACAAAGCTGCAAGCCTTATTCTGCAGAAACCAAGAGCACTTACAGCCTTACAAACCGAGAGATGAACCACCCACTGACAGGCACTGGGCATCAGCCACCTCTCTAGGAAGCCTGTTCCAGTGTTCTGAATTTACCTAAATACAAAATGCGCAAAGGGCCTGGAAGATTCTGTAACTCCGGGAGTTCTGGTCAAAATAGATTGAAATGCCTGGTCCCTATAACCATGCTAATAAAACTGCCCAGGCTGCAACAGATTGCACTGAAGAACCCAAATCCAAAGGAATCTCCAGTGCACAGTGACTTCTGCTCAGTTAAGGCCTTAGGTAACAAGATCTACGCTCCAGCAGTTTGACCCTACCTCCAAGAAAGCACCTTCTGTCCCCGATGTGTAAGGCTGAGTCACCTCACCTCTTCTAATCAGGACAGGGTATATTCAGGTCGTTTTTCAGAGCAGACAGGCAAAGGAAACAACAGCACCAGTTCTTCAGGCAAAACCAGCAGAAGGTGGAAGTGACCCAGTGATGATGGGAAAAGTGCTCAGAACAGTGGTGCCTGAGTTCTGCTGACCCACAGGCAGCAACACCAAGCCAGCAGCCTGCTGCGGGCAGCTTTGTGCTGTCGTGGAATAACTTTCTACTTCAACAGTATTTCATTCCTCTGTGAGCAACAGGTTTCAATGTTAAATGTCCTGCGATAATAGCACTGCAGTCTGGAGGATCCCATAGCCAGAATGCCGTGTTTTGGGAACAACTACCCAAAAGACTTACTTTGTCTATTCTTTATTGAGGTCTGTTCTTCCTGGATTGTGGTGTCTGTGACTCTGGCGAAGGCAGTTGCTGTTGAACAGTACCCATGATGAACCAAATATGAAGAAACCATACTAGAAAGTAAGAAAATACAAGTAGATGAAAAGGTGTTGGTAACACACAGCAATCACACTGCAGAAAAAAAAATCAGACAATTTTACAGATAAATCAGACAAATTACAACAGAAATTGCAATTTCAGTGATCAAACTTAGCTCAGTTATGATATAACCATGGTCTCATTTCTGGCTCCAGATACTAAAATTACAAGATAGGCACCCAGGCCTCAGCAAACACTATGGAGACTCTAAATTCACTTTAAAAAAAAAAAAAAAAAAAAAAAGGACTCCCAATACATACACAGTATTTATTTATTTATTTATTTATTTACTGCTGCCTAAGGGTCATAAGAGTTCTGTACTGACAGTGATGTCTCCTAGTGACATAAGATACAGCCAGAAAATCCCAGCTTCTGAGAGGCCTGAAAGCTTACAAGTAGACCTCAAAAAAAAACCTTTTGGTCCTGAATTTCTGTTATTTCCTATCCAGCCAGCAATTATACAATTGGTAGTTGAATCCCCTTATGAATTCTACACATTCACACACTTTTATCCCCTGATTTACACAGAGCAGAGTGCTGAGGGTACACTCTGCCCATTATCCAGAGCATTAAGGAAGGCAGATGTTGAACAGGACTGGACCCAGTATTGACCCCTAGGTACTGCCTTCCAGCTAGACTTTGTGTCACTGATCACCGCCACCTCAAGTATTCCCTGACCTGATCCTCTTCCTCTAGGGATGTATCTTCCTTGCTCTAGCCTTTCTCCCAGTCTTTGGGACCTGAGATTTCTGAAAGTTGGTCTTTTTAGTAAAGACTGAGGCAAAAAAAGACATTCAGTACCTCAGCCTTTTCCAAAGGTTGTCCAAAGATATTATGGAGTCCTTCAGCAAAGCCTCCTGAAGAAACTGCTACCATGTGGTCCAACACAGCTAAATACTCAATTAAATAATGAGGTGGCGAGAAATGGACACTTTTTCCAGGGAAAGGAAAAAACACACAAGTACTGCAGGAACCTGTCCTATTAAACCAAACATCCAGTTAGCCCAACACTTGTACCTCCCAGCTGGCAAAAGCAAATACCTAGAATAAAAGGAACAAGGCACCTTTCCCCCAGACCTGTCCAGCTTCCAATGATTTTTCAGATACTTCTCGTCCTAGAGGCGGTATCTCTCTACATCATAGCCCCAAAAGATTTTTCTTTCTTATGTTTCCAGTCACTTTTTGAATCCAGGCAGTTTTCACTGTGCCTTGTGACAGAGAGCGTGGGATAAAAACAGCACTCCTCTGTTTTTCCTAAATGCATCACCTGGTTAACTTCACTTGATACCCCTTAATTCTTGCAGCTGAGAAAATAAATGAACACTTGTTCCTTCATCAACCTCTCCAGGCTATTCAAGACGCTTTTTTACAGCTCTGCCTTACCCCTCACCGTCAGATTTTTCAGTGCTGGGGGTCTGTGTAATTGTTTCTTGCCTTACACCTCCCCCAAACTTTTGTACATCCTGCCTCTGCCTCTTTTTTTTTTTTTTTCCCCATGCTTTTCTCACTTCTGCTAAATACCTTGGGGGACTACAGAATGAGAACATCACACAGAGTTCTAGTTAAGGGTACACCTCACATTCACACAGTGACAGAATTATTTTTGCCCTTGATTTTTCCCCTAACAACATAGTCGACTTTTTTCCAGCTCACAACCAAAAAACGAAGTAATATTACAGTGCAATGTTTCATCATAATCCAAAGGTCTCATTGCTGGAGGATCCCTTCTTCCACGCCATTTCTGAACACCCTCAACAGCACAGCCACTACCAGCACACCTCCAAGCACAACGCTACAGCCACCGTCTCCCACGCTGAGAATCACTCACCCATACACCTCCCATTTTGAACAATTCAGAATCCACATTGGGATGTCTGCCCATAGCCTCTAACTGCTTAGGCTCCCTGCCTTACCAAAGGAAAAGCATTTGGGGCTTCCAAGACAAAGAAAGCAGCCTGAGAAACATAACCACATGCCCTGCTGGCTCCTCTTCACAGAGTCCACATCCTATTTCTCCACGCATCCATTGCACCTACCCTTCAGTAGTGTTCCTATGGATTTATCTAAGCCAGACACTGAGGTTCTCTCAGCCATTGCTCCCTGAATCTCTTCTGAAACATGGTACCATATGCACCATCTTCCCCTTCTCTAGAAACAAGGCACATTGGAGAAAAACTTCATTTCATAGCTACAAGCCCATCTGTTTTCTCCTCAGGATCATTTGCTACTACTCTCAGCAAATATCTTGTCCCAAGGGCTTTCTCCTCTTCCTCTCACCTATTTCTTCCAGTGCTTCTTTGACAGACATTTCGATCCCAGACACAGCTTCTGCCAAGTCCCTCACTATGAAGCATCCCTGTATCAACCTACCTGATTTCTGCTGCACTGAACACACAGGCAAATAATTCAACGTGTAATGAGAGACAAGATACAGCCAGAGATTTGAGGATTAAAATTTAACTATGGAGTTGGCCTCCATAAATTGGGGCATGAATCTTTAAATCTGTATCTTTTAAAATCAACTTACGCTTAAACCACCACAACTTTGGGCATTAGCAAGACCCACTTTCACAGTATACTTTGTGAAAAAAATATATTAACTTCTTCGTAAGCTAGAAGGTACTTGTTTTCTAATTCTGTGTTTTCAGAAGCCATGAATCATCAGTTCCTAGCCACACTCTTCATGGCACACACAAATCATAGAATACCCCGAGGCGATAGGTAGCCGGAAGGATCACTGAGTCCAACTCATAGAATCATAGAATCTCCCGAGTTCCCCATGACTGACAGACAACTCCTGTCTGCTTCCCGTAACTACCTTTTTCCAAGCTGTGGTGCTTTAGTCAACTTTGCCTTTTTTCAAGCAGAAGATACTCCTGACCTCTGACAACTTTTGTGTATTGTTCTCAAGTTCCACTCAATCCTTTTTGCAATGGGATGACCAGAAATGCATTCAGTATTCAGAAATTTATAAAGTGCCATAACTGTGTTTTCGGTTTGTGTGTGTTTGGAAGCTCAGGCTGTTTCTTGCTCTTACATTTCTAAATCCAGCTGGCTTCTGTCCTGGTTTTTCCCCTATGATAGAGTTTTTACGGTCTCCTCTCCACTCCCTTTCCCCCAATGCATCATCTCAATGTGGATTTTCTTCCATTATTACATGCTTTCTCGCAGCCACTGGCTGAAAATTTCCCTCATATCTTTTAAGTTTTAAGCAGCAGCAATCTACTCGGGAAAGACTATTAAACAACAAAACAGAAGGTAAAACGGAGTGTTTTAGATGTGAGAAAAATGCACCGAGTGGAGATTTTTGCCATAAGAAAGCACAAATTAGCATTAAAAATATTTAAAGCCTAACAGAATAAAAGAAGCTGACCACCAGAACAATGGCTTACTTCTGCAGCATGGCTTGCCACTCGCCTAGTCTGTCTCCTATGGGAAACCGCTTAATGGTGCTCTGAATCTTCGCTCGCCACTCCCTCATGTAGTCCTCGATGTCGAACACGAAGGGCTGCTGCCCAAAGTTGGCATCGACTATCTCTCCTGGAGTCTGGAGACCCACTGTAGGGTAGAGATTTGACTGTGAAGGAAAAAGAAGAAACCTGTATTAAACTCAGTTTTCTCTAATAGGTAGTTCCAGTTACACGGCTTGGTAAGAGCTGCTCTTTAAATGTAATGTGTAACGGAGTGGGAAGGGGCCTCATGACTTATCATGCAGTTACCAAAACTTATTGCATAAAACCAGAGCAACAGGTTCGATCTCCCAGTAATCTGTGATCAGTGCCACAAATGCTGCTTACTATGGCAAGTCCACTTTCTGGCTTAGGGTTCTGTAATTTCTACAAGAATGTCAATACTTGTGTAAGTAAATAATAGTAAAGTTGAAGGAGCATCCTCTCAATCAGCAGATCTAAGTGTTTTCCACTATTTCCACTGAACTGTCTTCTCCCTTGACAAGAAGCTGCTATCGGTATTTTACATCTGATCAAAAGTGAACGGATGGCAGTGGAGCTCTGAGGTTAGGTCTCTGATGTTCCCAAGGCAGCGTGCCATCCACACAAGAAATTCCACTACTGATTAATTTTATTTTCATTTTAAGAACAAGCACGTCCTTCCGTCTGGATGCACTGTTCCCCACTGAAATGTGAGGAAAATAAAAAAAGTTAACACTGTGAAAATACCTCCAAAATTTAGCTAATAATCCAGCTTCCAGAGAAGATGATCTAATTAGAAACAGATGGTCAAAGTCTATGCACAGCATGCAGGCTGTTTTAACAACAAGCATATGGATACAAATTGAATCCCTGAGCCCACTTAAATGTGGAGAAAAGAGAAAAGGCATCAAAAAAGGTAGAGGGTTGCCTGGTTCTCACCCTAGATCACGTTTTTAAGAGCATGTTCTGTTCGTAGTAATGTTACTCTTTTACAAATTACTTTTCTGTTTGCAACACAAGCTTCATTAATCCTCTACTTCAGAGCATCTGCAGATGGCCTGCAGGGTTTAAGAAGAAATCTCATGGCAGCCATGAACTATTTGGTGTGTTTTTTTTTCACTTTGCTCTAACACACTGAAGACTGCTACACCTAGAAACCGGACAATAGGCAAGGCACAGAGATGCACTGAAGCATGTAGTGAAACTCAAGTCTGGAAGGTGCCCGTTTGTGGGGTCTGGCTCATGACTGAACCTCCATCTGATGTCAGGAGGAGCACGCTGCTCGCTCCAGGACAAATGAGCAAGTTCTGCTGCTGGTGGCTGGACCACCACTCTGAAGAAAGCTGGGATGGTTCTCTCCTCTACATCAAGTGGCATGGGCTTTCCTACAATTACCTGGAAAATGTATTCAGCAAATTCTATTACAGGTTTTGATCTCCCCTTGAGACCTACTGAAGTGGTGGATTTTATTTTTTGCTACAGATATTAAGATTGTTACGAGGTGTAAATCAGCAGAATCTGAATCACATTAGCAACAATGGAGTGAGCATGCTGTGGGAAGTGATCCCTTTCTCTTTCACTGGCGTGAATATTGTACCCAGTTCCTCCTTCCATGTCCATGTCCCCAGAACAAGAAGAGACTCACAAATGGGTTTGGGTCCAGCAGAGTTCTGCTAACATGGTCAGAGGGCTGGGGTGCATGGCACACAGTGAGAGGCTGAGGAAATTGGATTTATTTAGTTTGGAGAAGAGAAGGCAACAGATTCTTCTCAGAGTTGCTCAGTGAAAAGACAAGAGGCAACAGGTACAAGCTGCAACCAGGGAAGTTCCGATGGGACATATGCAAGAAATTCTTCTTTTGAGGATGACCAAGGACTAGAGCAGGTTCCCAGAGAGCCTGCAGCATCTCTATCCTTGGAGATTTTCCAAACTTAACTGGATACGGTTCTGAGCAACCTGCTCTAGCTTTGAAAGCTGCCCGTCACAGAGCAGGAAGTTAGCCTGAATTATCTCCAGAAGTTCTTTCCAGTCTAAATTCTTCTACAATTCCATTTTTTTGTGGGTTGCAGTAATAAGATGGTGAAGAAGTAGCCAGGCATATTAGCCCACACGAACTCTCTCAGTATTACCACATCATGGAGGAGCAAAGGCGTAATGGCAGCTCCAGTACCAATGAGGATCTACTCAGAGGTGTGTGGCTGGTACCGTACCTTTCTGGACTCTCAAATATCACAGGAAAAAAATGAATCTGTAAATGCAGGCTGGGAACGGACATCAGAAATCAGGATGACTGCATCACTGCTGCCTCAGCACACCTCTTCCTTTCACATTCTCACACCAAGGCAATTGCTATGCTACAGGTGTGCAAGGAAAAAGGCAGCATGATAAAGGAGGAGCTACCAGAGGAAAATGTCATTTTTAAAGTCAGTCTCTCCTCTCTTTCAAACCTAGGTAACAAGGAGATATCTCTAATGAGGGATCAGATCTTCCCCACAATCCGTATTTCAGACTCACAAGAATTTTGGTGTTATGAACCCAAGGACCTCCAAAGCCAGGAATCAGACCCCCAGAGTACTGAGAAGTTAAAAGACAAAACCCCCAAACTAGAACACATCACCTGTTTTTCAGCTACTCTGGGGTATGCTCATCTTTGAGGGGAAGCTGCCAACCCCCAGCCAGTCTCAAATCATCTGAGTTAAAATTCCACTTTTCACATGCAGGATGTGTCCTCTCTGTGCTGCAACTGCAGGCAAGTACTCGTACCCCCAGCACCCTGCCAGGCACAGGGAGACTTCATCCTAGAGCCCACTAAGTGGGTGCTTCTCCTGCCAAGTTCTTCAGGCACACTTTCCCAAGTATTTTTTGCCACTTCGTCCTCCTGATGTCCATGGGTAGGTGCTCTCACCCCCCCAGTTTGCCCTCACTTGTTTTTTTGTTTGTTTGTTTCAGCCTCCTCCTCGCTTTGTGGCCCTGCAATCCCTGCTCTCAGCACTTCCACGTTCTGCTTTTTCACGTTTCCTACTCTGGTCACACAGCAGCTTCAGCAAACTGCCAGGCAGGATAAACCTGGGCTTGCGTAAACGGCACACGTAGGCCTAAGCGCTGATTTGAATTGGTGAGAGAAGGGGAAACTCCCTCTGCGGGATCTTTGCTTCTATTCGCAAGCAGGTATTTTCGTGTTATCTTCAGCCCGTGAGGTTTGAGGTTTCTTTTTCCACCCCTGTACATTTGTGCAAACGTAAACAGTCCGCAGGGGGAACTGAAACACAGAACAACCTGAAGCAATTACGCTTCACTGTGTGTGCGGATTATCACAAGAAGTTGTGGTTTTCCATTACAAGTATCCATTTCAATCTCCTACAGCTGCAAATACTGCAAAACATTGTCTTCATCACCTGAAAGGGAAATTTTGCAACTTGCACTTCAAGGATATAATTGGTAATGCTTTGAACGGCCAAATTAATTCCTTGTGTAGCCTCACTGCTACGTCAACAGAATCACTCCAGGAATTATTGAAGCTCAAAAGGTGGAAAAGCAACAGGGCTTAACTGGCCAACCTTCTCATTGATATGTGCCACCAGTGAGCTGCAACATTACATAGGCTGTAATGGAAGAAAAAGCTTTCAAACTACAGCCCCTACCAGGGGGATTTCAGTAACTGAGGCAGAACCAAAAATTGGATGTCAGCTGCTCAAATCAAAGAACTTAAAGGGTGACTCAGGGAAGACTGCTGGCTCCATTCCCATGTGCAGTTAAATTTTCTGACTTCGGTTTTAGCAGGTGAAGAAAAAATTGTATCTTTCACATGATGGGTGCTTTCTCTTCTTTATGTTAAAATGAATGCATACACATGTATTGTGTTTCTGCCTGGAACATAATGCTGTAATAAATGACAAAATATCACTTGCAAGTTATATCAACTTCACATTCCCTACTACTGCAAGGCTTCTCTGCCAGCAGTCGGCATATTTAAATCAAAAGTCTCTCTTGGGTCTGGGGTTCCCTTCTGTAGGAAAGGGCAGTAACCTTGACTGTCTGGAAAAGAAGCCAAGAAACAATGGGCTGAGAGAGCCAAAAAGGCCAGAATAGGACACGGAATACCCAGGCATCTAAAGGAGTGAGGCAAGAAGGAAGTGATTCAAGGGAAGGATGCTAGAGAAGGAGGGTGGGAATGATGGAAGTCAGGTGCAGGCATCCTTAAGGTGAATTTGACCACACAGCAGTTGAGCCATTTAGAATATGGAGAGAAACATGCTGAAATCTCCTGCCATTGCTTGCATCCACAGTCAAGGGGTGAAATAACCCAGTCAAGCTTTTGTCTCACTTTTTAAAGAGAAATTATCTTGTAGAAGGTAATTCCCAACAGTAGGAGGCCTATAGAGCATTCACTGTTCTCCTTTCTGGCCCAGAAAACGTGTCACAGATCGGCTGCTGCTGTAAAAACCAGAACCCACAGAAAACAACTCGGCAAACTCTGGCTAGTAAAAGGCACAGAGATGCCATTTAGTCACTGGAAACTGCCTCAAGCTATTTGAATAGCTGATGCCCAAACCAACCTGACCAGATCTTCCTCCAATTTAACATTAAAACAAAATCATCTTGGAACAGGACATAGATGAAGAAGCTGGAAGGAACAGCAGGATGGAGGGATGCCCTGTGCTCAGGAGCGTTTCGGGTTCAGCCTTAGCAGCGCTGCCAGACCTTGCTGCTGCAAGAGCCCTGCTGCCTGTTCTGCTCCCGTGCATCTTCCCCAGCTGTCTACTCGCTGTCTGTAAAAGAGACTCAATGCTAGGCACAAGAGCACATTAAAATCAGCCTGCTGTGCACTGCTGGATTAAAAAGAAGCAAGTTACAGTAAGCAGGACAGGTAATATCAACCTGCCAACTCGGTACTGTGAAGCAACACTTCAGCTGTATAAGACAAAACAACTGCGTGTGTGTTTCGGTTTGATAGCTATTTTTGGCTGATGAGAGGCTAAATAATAATTATCTGTCTACCCCAGCATGAAGACCACTCTCATTTCAGGAAGAGAAGCAGCGTAGCCAAATGAGCCACTCTTCTTGTTCCTAACCCACTAGCCACAGAGAAGGCTGTGCTTTGGGAGGAGCTGACTGCACGTTGTTGCCTAGATGAACTCATCCGGCATCACAGCACTCAAGAGGAACTCGGTATTGGTGCTGGTGAATCAGAAGAATAACCCTGAATGCATGCCAAATATATTCTTCCTAGCAATTCCACGTGCTGGGTACTGATCACAGGAGGAGGCTTGTCAAAAACTCGTGCGATGAGCCTAGTGATAGCCTTCCCTAACCACCACCTTTGAAACGACTCCACAGCTGCAAGATTTGGAGGAGAGAGGGAGAGGCTGGGAATAACATCAGCAGGCATTTCTGTGCCCTCTGAGGGCAGAAGACAAGAGGCTGCACAGGGACTTTGCACATACACTTCCCACACCCAATGCTGTGTTTGGAAGACAGTGACCTGTAACAGAGTCTGAATCCAGGCTTTAATTCCAGGAGAAGGAGCAACATATTCTTAGAGCTGGTGAGGGATCAGAGGAAGCGTGTGGGTGGCCCACATCCTAGCTACAGAACTATGAAGTTTCAGAAAAGGGAGCATCCACATCATTCAGTAGTGTGTGTTACCATTTTTAACAGGGTATCAAAACAAAACAAACAAACAAACAAAAAATCACACCCCCACACTCTTCCCCCTCCCTTCTCTTTGCATCCTTAGTTAAAATACTGAAAATAGGTGTACTTACAGGGAGGTCTGTAAAGGCTATACCTGTGGGGGGAAAAATATTAGAATTAAAAAGACAAAGGATTTTTTCCCTGCTTGACTACATCCATAACATGCTATAAAAATTTACTACATCTCAATAAATCCCAGCTCGGACCTTGCGTTTCACCACCTGTCATATTTAGAAATAACTTCCCTCCCCAACCCACTCCTCTGCAAGGTTTTGACTCTGGAGAAACGTTCATGGAAAAGCCTAATTTATCAGATATCTCTTCTTACAATTTGATTTTCAAAAAAGCAGCTCCTCTTGTCTTTGCTTCTCCCTCTGTTACTCTGAAGGAGTTAGTTTTCCAGACTTACTTTGGGTTTAGAAACAGAGCTTTACTCTCACTTTGCCTTGGTTTAGGCTATAGCTGCTTCTTCTCACCAGCCAGCCAGGAATGAATATTCAACACTTTGCATTGCAGCTGGGGAACGTCCTTGCAACAGGAGCAAGTTGCAGCCTCCAGCACCTGAGAAATACTGCGCAAAGAGCAGCTTCATCCTCCATGATGCTGTTACAGTTCCAAGTACAGGTGATGGAAAAAAGTGTATGGTTTCCCTTTTTATTTAATTTGGCATATGAGAAAAGAGATACCAAGCAAAACCTACTAGAAATCATAGCTGCTCACAGTAGGATCTGTTTCTGATGGACTAAATATCAATTGCAGAGAGGACAGAGAGGCCCAGCGGTCACTACCGAGAAAGAATGGGACATTTGCAATGCACTGCTCACTTTATCAGGCTCAGCTTGATTCATGTTTTACAGTAACATTTCAGGATTCAACCCAGAATCCTCAATCCCTCCCCACACGTGTTCCCTGCTTTCCATCTGCAGTCAGAGGGGGAAGACCAGCCTTCGGTCTCAACACCAGCACATCCAATTCTAACACATGTTTCACCTCTCAGCCCTGCCCCAGTCCCTTCTGCACTGCACTGAAATGCACTACAGCCTGCACAGGAGCAGTAGGGCACCATTCTGTTTTTAATGTTACAGCGATTTTGCACGGACATATCATGTGTTCAACCAGAAAACCAAAAGCTGCAAGGTAGTGTTACCAGATGAGCCTGAAATGGTAATTTAAAACAAGTTTAGGAGTCAACGTACAAAACAATTACCATTTGAAACAGCACAGATCTGAAGTTGAATGCTCAGAGAGAAAAAAAAAAAGTATTTTGACTAAATAAATAGCCAATAACGTTTAATTAACATCACGGCAGTTTGGATTTTGTCTGCTGAGTACCCTCTCTGCAAACCACACACAAATTATGTATTGATGTACAAGTGATGTTGAATTCCTGGCAGAGAAATCCACGTAGCAACTACTTGTCACATCCCGTCACTTTGTCTGTCCACTTATTGTTCTGCACACTGTGCATGTCCTGCCCTAAACCTGTTTTCAGCATGCTCACCACCACAAGCATAAGCTTCACACTTGTTTTGCTTAGCTAGATCAAAATTTATTTCTACCCTTTAGAAAGAACGAGGCTAACCTCCTTACTGGAAGTCCCCTCCTCTGCTCTCCGGCATCACTCAGAGCTAAAGGCGGCCCAGCCTTGCCGAGAAAACTTGTGCAGCTGCATCCAGTGCATGGGCAAACATACGGCTTGTGAATGGGATGTAACGCGGGCAGAAAATCAGCTGGACTGCCAGGATTGAAGGGCTGTGATCATACAAAGTCCAAGCGTTGTCCTGCAGGGATCGATGCTAGGGCCAACACAGTTTAATACCAACTCTGCTGACCCAGACGATGGGAGGGTGTGCACTCTCAGCAGGTTCACAGACATTACCAAACAGGAGTATGGGCAATACGCTGCAGGGCATACTGCTGCTCAGGAGGACCTCAACAGGCTGGAGAAAAGATCCAACACAAACCTGGAGAAGCTCAGCAAAAGCAACCAAAGAGCCCTTCCGCCACAAGAGTGAGTCCAGCAGAAGCCAACAAGTTGAAGGGAGGTGGAAGGAAGAAGTGTTCAGACTTAGGAGCATCAGGGAAGAAACTTGCAGCTGCCTCATGGGAGGGTACTGAATAGAGTCAGACTCTTCCCAAGGATGCGTGGTGACAGGAGGCAGGAGGAAACAAAGACATGTTGCAACACGGCAAATTCTGATTAGGTATTAGCTGGGCTTCAGGGAATCAGCATGAAGGCGGTCAAACACTGAATCACAGGACCAGAAAAGCTCCCTGGGGATCTCCAGAACTTGACAAGTTTCTGCATAACCTGACCTAGTAGGCCCTGCTGCCAGCAGGGAGGTGAATGCTTGGCTTCCTGAGATCCCTGCCAATGTAAACTGCTCTATGACTCTATAAATAAAGGTATTGCACTGCCTTTAAATTAAGGCATTTATATGTTTAGTGCCCTGTCATGAAACTAAGGCCAATAAAATACTTCAGCTGTACAGATCTAGATCTGTTGCACAATTATGTCTGCTTAGACCGTTCATCCTGAACCTACACTGCTATGCACTTGCATCCAACAAAGTCAACAGCAGAAAGCAGAAGAGTCACAGCTCTAACTGGGCAGCTGAATTTGAAACTGCACTCTCTGCAGCACCTCCAAAGCCTGGATCCAATTTAAAATAACATCAGATATTCAAAGACATGGGAACTGGACGGTTTAAGAAGTCGAGAGCAAATATGTGAAGAGCCTCTCCTGTAAATCCACGATGTATCAACAAGACAGTGACAAAAAGGCATGGACTTCAAATGATGGTTCAGTGCTGAGGTGTCTGATCAACACCTTCACCTTTCAATGACTAACAAAGATGTATCCCCATGCACACAGCCGGCTTACGGGTCTTCTAGCCAAGCTGTGCCCTCCACCCTGCAAATATCATCCTGTCTGCCCCACGGTTGGCCACTTTCTTCAGAATACACTTCAGAATTCAAATTACACAAGAGAACACACATTTGGGTGATCAGTACCAGTGCTCCGCTTAGTAGATGGCAGGGTACTCTTTCGGCTTCTCAACTCAGAGAATGCATTGCTGCAAACTGCAATAAGCGACTACACGTTCAGCAGAACATGCATCTTGAAGGGTAGACTGAGAAACATCAACCCATGAAATATTCAAAAACTTCTACAAGTTGTTGCTGAGAAGCACTATTAAACCCACATAGCTCTACACACTCCTGGAAAACAGCTACCATTCAGTCAAGGCACTTGGGAGAAAAACCAGGCTGTAACTGCATTTGGTATTGTCCTTTCAGTTCGAATCTGGATCATCTATGAAGTCTTGTTTTAAACCTCCCAGTGCTCTTGCTCTATGTAAACTTGATTTGAGGGTTTCAGGACAAACCTGCTAAACTGGGAAAGCTGGGAAGGACGTCTGTGGGTCTCTGACAGATTTCTTCATTTTCCCCGATGCTCCTGTTAATCTCCAGACTGGTGACAAAATGGGTAACTTGGTCTTTCCAAGCACCTGCACTCGAACTCAGACAGACCACAGGACGTTTTCTATGCCAGGACTTCAGAGGGTTGCATGCTCTTTTTATAGCCTTGCTGGTCCATTTTCCTCTGTCTGCTGTCAAAGTCTGAGATCTGAAATGCTCATACCTTAGTCCCTGAGAGAACTCCTCCATTTAATCACAGAGACCTGTAGCAGTCACTACATCTTTCCTTTATTATTTCCTGCATCCGAGACTCTCTGCTTAATGTCTGGAGCCCCACATTTCTCTCTTTCTCTCCTAATTCACCCTTCCAGCCATATCACATCATCTTTTTTATTGCCAGGACTCTGCTCAGAATTTGTCAAAAGCATTTAATCATCAGCCAGAAGACATTCTAGACGTTTTCCAGAACAGAAAACTAAGAGTATATCCAATGTCAAGCAGCTTTCATGTGATGTCTCCAAAGAAATTTCAAGTCTTAGCTCCAACCAAAACATCCAGAATTTGGAATGGCCAATGTGTTCCTACACCGTGCTTCTTGATAGACCTGATTAAATGGAAAAGGATGGAGACAACAGAAGATTACAGTTAAGCAACGGAGAAAACTGCAAGGAAAACAAAGTGAAAAGGTGAAAAGGAGAAAAATTAAAACGCCTGAAGGAGTAAAATGCCCTGAAACTTGCAGTCAAATTAACTGTCATCAAAAAGGGGCTGATTAGTCTCATGAATATCTTTGATATCTGCAGGAGCATTACACAAACAGCATTACACAATGACCTAATTTCCTAAGAGGAGAGAGATACAGCTTCAGCAGCTGAAGACGTTGAGTCAGGGAACATCAGCAAAAAACACTTTCATCTCCTTCCTGATAACTCTTGGGTTTGCACAACACACAAATGAGATTCTCAGGTTAGCATTAAGTATCATTAAATGTTTGCGATCTTCATGGAGACACTTATGCCAGAGCAAAAGGGTACTGACTTTCAAATAAATCATTGCTCCAGTCTCCTTCTGGTCTTGGTTCCCCTGCTGACACCCACCTCAACTCCCTTTCTCCCATCTCTCTGCTCAGTGCCCATGGACTGGTCCCTGTGGCCTTGCGGGGCTCAGACACTTCTCAGCATTCAGCAGGAAGCCCTTCTCTTGAACGTCGTGTTTCTTTATCAGCAGCAAAAACAGTGGACTTTAATGAAAGTGTTCCTGGCTGAGGTCTTCATTCCGATTTTGTAAAAGATAGTAAAATGTTCCAGCAGCTTTTGCTGGGGTCAGGACAAGGACCGATGGCTTGCTGCTCCCTAGCACTTCAGTCACTGTCCCTGCTGACCATGTCACCTCTCCTCTCTAACACAACCATTATGCCACCACAGCTGAAGAGGAGCTGGTACCTGCATGAGCCAGTTGTGAAAGCTGAGGAGATTCTCCTAGTTATGATTTTCTCATAGTATCAGGTCTTGTACTGGTACATCTGAACAGCCCAAGAGGAGGAGACCCAGGAAACAGCAATGGCTATAATGTACCGAAGTTCTCCAGGCACGGTGAAATTTAATTCCCTTCCTTTGTTTCTTCCCAGTGGTATCGTTCACAGCTGGGGGAGACTGGTCTCCAAGGGATCACTGAATGTCAGATTAGAAAATAACAAGTTTTCCACACAAGAAAAAAAAATCTGAACCAAAAGGAGCACTTAAAATCAAGAAAGGAAGACCAGGCGATTTCACTGCGGTAAAGACCTAAAAACATCCCAAACAAATCTATGAGCAGGACATGAGGCAAAGAATCCGAAGGCTGTAGCAAGGAAGTGTGATACAAAAGTTTTTGAACTGTTCTCTTCATTTGACTCCATCAGCCCAGACAGCAAGACAGGACATGACCGTGTGAAGAGAACAAAGGACAGAGCAAGCACCGACATTTCAGCCGCCTCCCTCTCTACCCCGCAGATTCCTGCTAAGTAAAAGGAATTACTTTTCCAGTGAATAAATTTGTACTTGTTAAATAAATAGCAGACCTGCCCTCTTCCTGACAGTTACGGTTTCATTCCGAAGGGAAGTCACACCGCTTGTCAAACTGAAAAATGGTGAAGCTGGAAAACCATCCACTCCTGTAGAGCTGACAGCCAGAGAGGCACAGCACTAGCCACCATGCAATTTCTGAGTAAATGCACGCTAAAAATCAAGAGCAGCGACCAAAGGGAGAGATTTTGTGAAATCTTTTTTAACTATTTCAGCACCTGAATCGTTTCATGGTGAACTCATCTCATTCCTAAGCAACAGCCCCTGTCCTGCATCACCAGCGGTTGCTCTCACACCTCTGCTTGTCTTCACAGTGGAGGACTGATGAGGGCAATATCCACAGATTATGAGTTAAATTTAGAATAACCCAGCTATTAGAAATCCAGGCAATGAATTAATACCTACAGACTACAAACGACTCCTCATCACTCTACTGACTGGTCTCACTAGGTAGGAAGCCTGAAGTCTTCACTAGAAGTCATCCTAGCAGTACACACAGTCTGGCAACTAAATAGCCATTAATTCAAACAAGAAGCCAAATCATATTCCTAAAGAAACATTCTTAACTCTGAGCAACTGCCCAGCAGGCTGCTGATCAGGGCTCCATTCCTAGTATCAGAATGTTAAAAACAAGTCACAAAGGATGCTCAGAGAATTATTTTTTTTTCCATTCAGGGACAGAGACCTCGATCTGTCGCAAAGCATCAGGACTAGCTGCTGAATGCAATGCTACAGACTCAAACTAGAATGCTGCCGGGAAGCAACATGCTAGGCAATCATCCCCTAAAAATCAACAAATGGTTGGTGTGAAATCAGAGGGAAACTGAAAACAATTTTCTGGATGAAGTTACGTTTGCATGAGCACTAGGCCTTTCTCAGTCTGCCTCACAGGAAGGATCCTTTGGACAGCCCCACACCTCAGATCCGTACCTCTGATGTAACTCTAAGATAGCCTGCTGCTTCCACAGAATCGCAGACTGGTTGAGGTCAGCAGGGACCTCTGGATCCATCTGGTCCAAGTCCTCTGTTCCAGCAGGGCCACCCAGAGCCTGTGCCCAGGACCAAGTCCAGACAGCTTCTGAAGATCTCCAAGGATGAGAACTCAACAACTTCTGGGCAGCCTGTGCCAGTGCTCCATCACCTGCATGGCACTGAAGTGCTTCCTGATGTTCAGAGGGAGCGTTCTGTGCTCCAGTTTGTGCCCATTGCTTCTTGCCCTGGCACCACTGGAAATAGCCTGGCTCTGTCCTCCCTTCAGATACTTACAGACATTGATGAGATCTCCCCAAGCCTCCTCTTCTCCAGGCTGAGCAGACCCAGCTCTCTCAGCCCCTCCTCACAGCAGAGATGCTCCGGTCTTTTCAGCATCTTTGTGGCTTTTGGCTGAACCCTATCCAGTAGCTCAATCTCTCTCTTGCAGCAGGGAGCCCAGTACTTTTCCCACCAGGAGCTCACCAGCAGAAATTAGACACTTTCTAGGCACACGCTGTGCTCCAGTCCCACTCTTTTCTTCAGCTCAGCCAGTCACTCAAACAACTTCTGTTCTGATAGCTGTTCTCATGGGGGTGTTTTTCTACCAGCTTCTTCACCATGAATTCAACAAAGTATAATTGATACAGCAAGGAGAAGCAAAGGAAAGGACTGCTTGCCCCCTGCCAAACCAAATTAATTTCAGGGCAGAAAGTGAGCTGAAGTTATCAAAATTTACTGCATGTCTTATGCGACAAAAAAAAAATTTACAAGAATTGTTCTAGGGTGGAGAATATGTCATCCAAAGGAAAGTTATTTTAGGCAAAAACAGCCACAACTTTCTATTTTAGAAAAATCAGATACACTGGATGCCTGGAAAACATCTGTGAGATATTCCAGGCAAAATACTGAAGTCCTTAACTTTAGGAGAACTACTTGGATGATGGTGAAATGAATCAAATTATAGTCGGTGCTTAAATAAGAGTACTTGGGCAGAATTAATGTCTAGCTTTGGGAATATACTTAGAGCAATGTGTTAAGGCTTACAAATGCACAAGCCACTGAGAAACGTACTAGAGTTCCCACTTCTTTATTTCCCTGTTGCTCTGCCATCAGCTGTCTTATCCAACCTCCCACAAGCTGTGCAGTAGCAGAAGAAAGGAGCAGAAGCTGGGGATACAATCCTAACCTACTTAAGTTGAGCAGCACAGAAACCATTTTGCGTGCTGCAAGTATTTATGTCTTTGGGCCAACTTACAACTCCTGACTGCTGCAGAGGGCTCTTTTTCTCTCCAGTTTTTTAAACCTCACCCACGAACGTGGAACAAAAGTTGCAACACATGCAAAGTATTAGAGTAAACAGTGAGAGCCGGGCAGAAGCATCCTTCTCCTGAGAAGGACTTTCTTTACTCACCTAAACTGTGGCCATTTTTTGTGTAGAAGCAGGTGTTGTTGATCAGGTTGACACAGCAACCAATCACATCTCCAGTTGTGAACGTGGGGCCGTAGGGCTGTCCTGTGCCCGAGGAGCAGAAGGAGTGCCCATCGTCACCGTGGTACCCATAAGAATGTTTATCCCATCCTGCAGAAAGACAAGAGAGCAGGTCAACGATGGAGCCCATTTAGAAGAACATCATCTTTCGTGAAACAATTTTCTGGTAGGAAATTTGAAATGCTGATTGCCACTCCTGATTCATTCCAATACTCATTTTCACACACCAGTAACAAAAACAAATAAATGTTCATCAATCACATCAATCAAAATGTACATCAATCACAACACATCATCTGTGCTTGAACCCCATTTGTTATTTATGAGAAATAACAAAAATAGATTGACATGGAGGCATTTTCATAGCACAAAGATTTTTTTAATTTAAAAAACATGAGAAGCTTGTTTCTGTTTTGTCTTGCAAGTTGTGAAACGAACTCCTCTTTGTAAAACACCTGTGTTTCCACTAACAATCTGCCAGCCTAAGGATTTAATAAAATCATTCCCTGCCAACTGCGGCTTTGTCTGTAAATTCTGCTCACAGGTGACAGGCTAGAGGCAACATTTGCACACTCAATTTATGTTTCACTTCTAATAGTTCACAATGATTTCTGTGCTCCCCTTAATAGTAACATGTCCCATTCTGTGGGACAGCTTAAAACATATCCCTTAAATGTCAATTGGCAATTTTCAAAATGGTCAATTCTAACATTATCTTTTATTTCGTCTGCCAGTAGTACTGTGTGAAGGGTGAAAGGTGGGTTTGGTGATAGCAGCACTTGCTCTCATCTACATCTTGCAGTAATTCCATAATTCTGCATTCCCTACTTTGTTCTATTCTATCCCAATTCTGTTGTGGATTCTTACATTTGGAAATGCCCCGTGTAACTGCTAACTGCTGCAAAGAAGAGAGATTAATCCATCCTTTAAAAGCTGTAGTGTTCTTCAGGCAACACACAGGTCTTCTCTTTTACAGACGCTCGTTTCCCTCCTGCAGAAGAGGGGCGATGTGCCTCCCACCGCCATGGCCACAGAGCAAGCCTGCAGACCTGCTGAGCCTGCCAAGATGGCTGGTAGCTCCGCTCTCAGGAGACCAGCAAAGGCAGGTATTGAGTCACGAGGAACAGTTCTCTGTAAAGAAAGCATGGCATACTCCTGCTTATCATCTGACTTCAAGAGGAATCAGGGTCTTCTGCAGCTCTTTGGAGTGTTCCTATGGACTCTGCAATCAAAGCTGTGTCTGGCAGAGAGATGTACTTGCATGAAAAGATCTGAGATAGACACAACGTGATAACCACCACACATGTTTTAAATGGATACAGTTGGATCCTTAGGCAGATGGTGCCAAACTGAAGCTGAAGCAAAAGGAGCTGACCCTCTACTGACCCTACACAACCTGAGTTGGTAACAAGGGAGCAGAGAATCTGTTAAATATGGAGCAATGGTGTGGGCAAACAGACTACAGACGAAATAAAAGTGACCACGACCATCTCCATGGGGTGAAAAGTAAAAAGCACACATCCTGCAGTGAGGCGAGAAAAGCTTCAGTACCGCAGAGAGGAGCCCACCTGTGGAGGTGGGCTGGAGCACCCATGCCAGCCGTGACTTTCATGCAAACCTGCCAGCAGCAGGAGTGCACTGGAAATTTAATCCCATAAAATGGTGCTCAGCCACTTGCACTCATGGGTCTTTCTGCCAGAGGATCCACACGCTCGTGGTTTCTCAGAAAAACGTGAAACATTAAGTGTGTTCCCAAGGCCCCCAGCTTATTGCACCACACCACAGCGCTGCCAAAGGCACGGAATGGAGCAAGACTGAAACGTGGACCTCAGGGCAAAGTTTGGGAGTGAAAGTTGTGAAGGACTCCCAGCAGTTCACCGTCTAGAAATGGTGAATAATCCCTTCTGCTAAATCAGTAGGAACTGAGATGTCCCAACAGCAGGCTCTGGCTGCCCTCGCACCAGCTCCAAGCACGCTGCTGCCACCAGCACCCGTCCTGCTTCGTGTCTGCAGAAGGGACAGGGACAGCAGCAGGGGCAGCACCTTCAGCAAGCTCAAAAACGATGCCAAATTGGTTTGCCAAAAACAAAGGAGGGTGTGATAGAGGCTCCAGAGTTTATTGTCGACATTCCACTGGCACGACTCCTTCCAGCAAAAATATCATTGGAATATTAGTGTGGCTCCTTTCCACTATCCCTTTATTTCCTCTGCTGCTGGCCTGTGACGGGCTGCCATCGCTCATCCATTTCTTCAGTCTCCCAAGACCCAGACCTGTTACTTGTGTGTAAATTCCCAACCTCGTTAATGAAACTGTCTGGGAACTTCAGCTGATAACTCCGACCACTTTATCTCCTAAGCTACTTACTATACAAGCCAAATACAAGCAGAACTCTCCTGCATACAACTTTGCACCAACTACATTTAAGTAGTCAGACGATTACATACCCATGCTGTGCAGTAGGTAAGGCTAACATGAGAAATATAACTGCGTGCCCAGCTGTGAGAGAAATGCTGCAGAAGGTTTGTGCTAATGCAAATACTAGAGGTTTCATTTAATAATACAGATTTTGGTGCTCCGATACCTACAGATGACCTCTATTGAAAAGAAAATCTGCTCCTGTAAGACTTGTGCTGGGTAAAATAAGTATTTGCTGCACCACCAAAGGTAGATGAACTGCACTGAGAAGTCACTGAATAAAGGCTTCGAGGGCAGCATGAAAACTGATACATATCACAACAGCACATGGAAAAAAGCTTGTTTTGAAGATTCTCTACTGACAATCAATAATAATACCACCAGTTAAGAAAACCTCATCCATTCATCACTTTGGTAATGATACAGAGGATTAACTTCTTCAACACAGATGTTGTGTAGCGCTGATTCTGGACCTAATGCAATACTAAGTGCATTTAATCTAGGCTGTCAGCCTTACCAAATCTCCATGGCCATCCTAAAAAGAAAAAGTCAGATTTACCTGAAAGAACTTACTGTACTTGCCATAAACATAAGATGAATGGCATTAATTATACGCCTAGCCTGTAGTTATTTACTAAGCAAATAATGTAACAGTATTTCTAAAATGCTTCCTAGAGTCAACATCAGGGTAGCAGCATACAGGTCACTCCAGCACTGGCAAACTTCAGCCACTCTTCTGGAATCTCCTTGCATTCTAAGCTAAAAATAACAATCAGCACTTCTAACACTTCTAGGCCAAAGTTATCTGGGCCTGTTGATTAAAATAGCATCTCCTGAACAAGACATTTGGCATTATCTCCAATTACCAGCAGAGTGAGAAATAACTCATCACACGCATTTTACAAATACATCCTCCAACTTCTCTCCAAGTGCCAGAACACTTGCTGAAAACTTGGGGCTCTTCTGCATCATTAACAATTTACTATCGCCACCTAGTAATAGGTCTATGATATGACAATCTTTTCTTTGGCTCCTACTACACCCCTCACACCTAGAGTTACTCAAGAACTTTTCTTTACACGTCTAATACTTTTGTAAGGGCTGAATCAGACTTCCCAGGTGCCCTCCCCACATTTTAGTCTGCAAATCCTCTGGACAGCTTAACCTTTGTACCACTGTACTGAAGAATTTCCAGAAACTACCGCTGTGACCAGCAGGCAGAGATGAGATTTTATCTGCATGTTCTTAAAAAGAATGGCCACACGGGGTATTGGGCCCATCTAGCTAAGTATCCTGCTCAAGATGTTGTTGCCTATAAGACAGCCTAAACACAGAGCATTCAGGTATCCTGCTCTTACTGAGAAGTGTTACAGCTTTCTGACCGTCTGCAGCACAGACGCATACCGAGCCAGGTGGAGATTCTGTTTATCTAGTGCTCCTCAAAGGATTTGCTTCCCCTGAAATTCTCCAGTCCTCCTGTAACTCCACATCAATATTCACATCGCCCACAGCAGCCTGCAACCAGGCGTTTCAGCGTGTAACTGGAGGCTGTGGGAAAACCTGCCTCCCACTATCTGGATGTCATACCCTGTAGTTCTTGCACGGTTCTGGAGAAGATAGGAACACAGATATTCAATAGCTGCAGAACTTACATAATTATTTAGGCTTCTACAAAATCCCCCATCATCATCCCTTTTCCAGACCGCTGAGTCCTTGCTTACTTAGCTATTCCCTGCGTTTCTGACCATCATCATCTGAACCTTTTCCAGATTGATTGGGCTGCTTTCAGAACGGAGGTGAAGGTGCAGCACGGACAAGGGAAGTGGGCTATAGTGGTTTTCTGCAACGTTCCCCAGTCCTCTGCGAGTTAATCCCAGCATTTTCCCCTTTATTATCCTTTTTACCACTGATGTTTCAATGCAGCTATTGTAAGCTAAAGGGTCACGAGGAGTCCAAAATGCATCATTGCTCTTGTCTGCGAAGTGACGATGCTCTCTCCATGCTGGTTCTCACCTGCATGCTCGGCCTCGGAAGGTTGTTATCTCACGGCTCCTCTCCAACACCTCTCACATTACTACCCGCAGTACCTCAGTATCCTCAACGAACTGTCTCCTCACTGCTCCACCACTTCTTCCACCCCATTTCTGATCACCCTCAACTGCACAGCCACTACCAGCACACCCCCGAGCACACCGCTACAGCCACCGTCTCCCACGCTGAGAATCACACAAATCAATCAAAACACACCATCAAAAGCACATAATTATTGCAAGGAGGGAAAAAAAGGTATAGAATAGAAAGGATTTGGCCACCTAGCACATGGTAGTGGTTAAAACGGAATCCAAACATCCTGCCTCCAAAGGCTCCTGTTTAACTCTAGCTCATTTTGAAGGCAAGTTCATTTAGAACATGCAAATTCACAGGCAGAAGCACTCCACAGGTAGGACCTCAGCAGCTAGTGACCAAAAAGAGATTAATTGTGCCATCCTTTTGAATTGAAAACATCAGCCCCCAAACTCAAAACACCTGTGTTGTATTTATCAGTAGCCAGACAGGTGCAGAAGAACAGCTCTGCCTGTACAATCAGTTAATATCAAGAGTATGGAGAGAGAAGCAGAAACCATGGGCTTAAGAGGACATTTTTAGGTGTTCAGCACCAAATTGAAGTTCTGTT